TGCGAGGCTCTCAAACTTGTGTAATAAAATGGTGCGTCAAATGACGATTTTAACGGAATTTGGTAATTTGCATATTTCTTTGAAATAAAGGGATATTGTGCCTGAAAAACTATCCAGTAGTTTTTGTCATGCCCTAACCTATCTACCGTACGAACATGAGCGAAATCGAATTTTCGACCCTAGCCGCGAAATTAAGAATTTGTCTGATTTTTACAGGCAGGCACTCTTAATAAACTAATTGCAAGGTTTTTGACTCAACTTAGTAATATTAATGTACACGCCCGTATTTCTCGGCGGAAAAGAGACATTGGTACGGCCCCATGCCCCACTAGGGGCAATGAGGATTAATGATGATGATGATGACGCCCGTATTTGTAAAGTAATTCTTTCTAGGACAGTTTGGCGACTTAGGGGCAGACGTGTTTGTTCTTGTGAGTAAGGTTAAAGCGATACCGCCTTTTTTATCCTAAAAGTAGACAATTATTGATCTGGACAAAAAGTCACTGGCCTTACAAAGGAGTGTCAACACAATACTTACCTCAGTGCAAATCTACCAAGTTTCTTGTAGTGATAAAACCGGGTTTTTTTTTTTTCCAATTACAGAAATTAAGACTTGCCAACCAAATCCATGCGGACATGAAGGAGAGTGCTCAGCCTTAGACGAGAACAGCTTCATTTGCAATTGTGAAAAAACTGGATACAAAGGTAGCAAGTGTGAAACTGGTTTCGTCAACACGCCAATCATTCCAAAGTTACGCCCGAATATTAGCTCTAAGGCTCTTGCTGTTCTGGCACGTCCATCAAAACGCCTGAGGGTGTTCTTGACCTCGGAAGATGGAGTTACCATCCACCCGTCATCAATTGAAATACCATTTCCAAAAAGAAAGGAAGCATTTACAGTAGAAGGAGCAAAACCAGGAATCCAAGCAATAACTTATATTCTCGGGGGAGAAAATAGAGATGATTTCGAGACTCCTGAAAGAAGCGTACTCTTTATTGCACCAGAAATCTCAAACCACAACACAAAATTGTTTCTGATGAGAGGGGAGCTACCTATTGGCTGCGAGAAACACGAAACAAACGAAAACTTTTCATGTGACCTACGTCTTATATCTACTGCACCATGGACGGGTACACCTCGATCTACCAATGGTGTTGTGCACCTTTTAACAGTCAATAACCAAACTATTCCATTGTCGCTAATTGGTTTAAATCTAACGACGAGTAATGTTTCTCGGGATGAGATGATTGAAACTGGAATTGCAGTGACGTCCACCTTCAAAAAATTTCCACTTCAATATCAAAAAAATGGTAAATGCTACTCAGAAGTTGCAGATTTAAATAATCTGCTTGAACTAATAGACAGTGATGCGTTTGTCTCGTCGTTTATGCACGCCCTTTCAGCAGTAGCACCAGAATGGCTTACAGTAACTGTCAGCGAGACCAATCAGGATTTTGACATTCAAAACATTGCCGTCACTCTAGCATCTGATTTGAAACACTGTTTAGGATTTCCCATAAATGCAGGACACAGCCTAGCCTACTATCGTCCTGCCGTTAACTACAAAATGCGTGTTGAACAAAACGAAATACCCTTATCCGCGGATGGAACAACCTGCTTCGCCATAAATATCTGCAAACCTGGTTTATTCATCAACTTCCCCAAAAGTCAGACTCAGCTTTTAAAATCTAAGTTGCATGTGTTTCGAGACATGAAAGACAGCTGTGGGCTTGACCTCAGCGTAGATTCAATTGGATTTCTGAACAACAAGCAAACCTCTCACTTTGTCAAGGGAATGATTTGGAATGGAATGAATCTACAGAAGTTATCGCCGTTAAGCTACAATGCGTGGCTAAAAGGAAGTCTCGACTGGAGAATGGAAATACCTAAACTGCTCTTCGTGGCTTTTAAGATGAGTGGTGAGACTATCATCAAATCCAGAAATGTTGATACTGTAAGTGGTATTTTTCTTTAATATTTATAACGTTTCAAAAGGCATTGATGGGAGAAACGTTGACACTTATTACAGAGACTCGACTGTACATGTAATTCCAGTTTACTCTTTAACAGCTCTTTACTGATCGAATGTCTCAGCGGATGGAGATGCAGTACAAAGGAAAAGCGTTTGTGAATATCACTGGTAGAGCACTAAAGAAAGACTTTGTCTTGGAACTCGATTCATCTAAGATTAATGGAAGAGCAATCTTGGGAGGTAAGATGTGTTTATAACGTAGGTACGTACGTCTGTTCCATTTGAACTTGATTAACATCAAGGAAAAGAGTAGTTCGCGCAGGAACAGAAAGAAAAAAAGAGGAAAGACTTTATTTAAGTGTCAGACGGAATTCAGCTTTCAAAATAAAACTAATTGGGGACACTATTTACGCATTAAAATATATCTTAGCTATGTAAAATTAAAATTATTTAGAACTTCATTCAGGGAATCATAAATAAATAACAGATACCTAATCCCTATCTAAAATCATTTAGGCATAGTTTAAGCTTTTTACCATAACCTGAAACCCACCATGCTCGGTACTAATTTATCATGCTTCGGAAGCTCGCTTACTCTGACTACTTACAAGGGTAACAGTAACTTGAAAGAAAACTCTCTCCTACCAAATGCGTTGCAGAACGTAACACCCCATTTGTTAGCATAGAAAAAAGAAAGGAAATTCTGTTCAGAAACGTCCTACGATACTGCAAGGAGTACTCCCAGAGTTTGACCTTTCGCGACTACACAATTATTACTCGGAGAGGAGAGTCTGCAGCTGGAATAGACCTTTTTAACGATACGGCGGCCATCTTGAATAAATTATTTTTAAAGTTTATTATGGGATGCAGTCGAAGCGTAACTATGTGCTCAGTCTGTTTACTCGCAAAGTAAGGGTTCGAGTCAAATACTTCTGTGAATGTTAGCTCATACAGAGATAAAAGTGGCAAAAAGCGATTGTTGTGCTGTCTCTGGATGTAATAGCGATCGAAGATATCCTGAAAAGTATGTGGTTAAAGACCATACAGGTTTCCCGGGAGATTTTTTTGGAGGAAAACCACACATACGTTTTTGGTCCTGCAAAAATCCGAACAAGTTCAAGGATTCGACCATAATAAAGAAGACTTACCAGAAAGAATTTCACGTTTAACAGATGCACTAAACTTTGCTCATAGACAAGTCATTTGAATTAGAAAGGCCAGTTGAAAGTGATCCAGATCCAATACTTTTTCTAAAGCACTATCTAAAGGGTTGATCGAGGGGAAGTTACGTTACACGAAACAATATAGTGCTGAGGCAAACCCACACTGTACCGATTTTCTCCGATTCTTGTTTACGATGCAAGACTCCATCGATTAAGAGCTATTTCTTTCTTCTCGCTAGAATTTTAGCATGCATCTTCTTGCTCACTGGTACTACAGAACGGCAAATGTAGCCGGGAAGCGTGGTCAGAAAGACCTTTGAAATGCAAGTATGTCAATTATCATTGGTGATATAAACGTTACCGCGATCTTTCAAGTATTTTCGCAATTTTTCAATGCTCAACACATTCAGCTCCTCTTTTCTAAACAGTCCTTCGTGTTTTCATCTGGTTGATATACTCATAACAATTTAAAGGAGAAGTTCACTCAAAAATAGGCACTTTTTTTCTTTTCGCCAACGGAAAGCTAGTGCAATGATCGGTCACTCAACAAAAATTTCAGCTTCCAAAGTGCTTTCAAACCATATGAAATTCTCGTCTAAAGTTGCACGAAAATCGAAAAGCAACGCCGCCATCTTGGAGTAGCTTAGCAGCCAGGCGACGTATGCGTGACGTCAAACAGTTCAGCAAAATGGCTGCTGTGGAGCCCTATCGCTTCGAACCAAAGCGTGCTCCCGATGAAAACCAAGCACCTGATCGAGGGGATGATAACGATGGGCCTGAAAGACTTATCAATGTGAACTGGTGCACCTGCGGTCGTCGTGAGACCAGAGAGACTGCAAGAGAATGTATCTGTTGTCTCGAAGAGCCCGAATCGGAAAACAAGTTTGCGGAAGGTATATTATAAATTTTGTACTTTTCTGCACTTTCAATGTACAGTCAATCAAGCATCAAATTTCCCTGATTAAGCCTAGTTTAAAAAGCCCCGTTCGGAAACGAGCATTGCCATCACGTACCTGACATGTGTTATTATTTTCATACCTGAAATCAGGCCATTCGTGTACGTCGGCCACGTGGTAAAAGACTGATTTCCATTTCTCCTGACAAAGCAGTTGATCCCCATCAAAAGTTGCCGCGCACCACCACAGGTGATTAATTACAGATGCGGTCCATGGCAATAGATCACGGCATTCGCGTTTCTTGGACGCAGCAGCAAGATTTTTGCGCACAGACTTTGCCAAGTGCCATGGATCGAATCTTTGTTTGGTGTGGACCTTTTCTGCTTTCATCATTGCGGCAACGTGGAGATGCCTGCATATCAAGTAAAACGTTGACAGGTTAAATGTCTTTTCGAGTCTTCTATAGTGGCAGTGACGTTTTCCCACTCTTTTAATGTAGTATTCCTTCGGATAAAGAGTACATTAACACGGAAGGAAAATCATAATACGTTTTATATGATTTAGTTCAGTTTACAGGTCGCGATAGATGTTACAATTTGGAAACAGAGCGCGCTGAACAAAGCGAAAAAAATGGCGTGCGTGGTTAACATATGCATGTAGTTATGTAAAATTATCTTCGGAACATTATTTCTAGCAGCAATAGACCGCACTTTCTATTGGTTTACCGGCGTAATAACATACTTGAGATGTTGGAAAAACACTGAAAAAGATCGTAAATCACTCACCGTGGGCTCGTGATTTATATACTTTTCGAGTGATGTCGCAGCATCCCAAGTGGGTTATTACGGCGGTAAACCCATAGAAAGTGCGGTATATTGAAGGTTTCATCAATTTACGCAAGTTAACTCTGGATAATGCTACACAAATAGCTATTTTTAGACTGTTTAACGGCATGCTTTTCTGATTGGTAGATCTGCGCTTTGGAACATTTTTTGCTATATTTAGGCACCTGCCATTAGTCAAAGTTAAATACCTGTCTGTTGCTAGCAAGTCGATCACTTGACCATTTCTTTTCAAGATATCTTCAGCCCCTCCTTCTCCATAGCGTTCAAGTTGGCAACTTCAGATATCTGCACAAGGGAAAAATCCACCATCTTTTCTGTCGTCACTTCCATCACACTGTACGTCCCAAACTTGGCATTGTGACCAGGACTGTCACATCGTCCGTCAACGGCAAGCACTAGAGGTTGTCCTCTAAATGACTGAAGAATTCCTCTCTGCTGGACAATGTAATGGCTGTTCACCACTAGCCAGAGGTACTTCCTTTTAATATAATAAAAAGTACCTTTCTCAAAACATCTTATGTTGCATGCACTTATGAGAGCACTAATTCTCATGAAGTGATTCCCAGTAAACAGGATTCCACCGCTACAAATAAGGTTTCCGGCTGCCATCCCTTTTGTAAACGGCTGAAAGAACCAAGGCTCAGTGTGGCCAGCTTTGCACACGGTGGTTACACAAATCAAGCTTCCTTTTTGCTTGAGATAAGCATTCTTCACTATAGCGCCGCAAATCCTGCAAAGTTGAGACAACTGCTTTAAACAGCCGTCAAAAACAATTGACTTGCTCTGGTTACAAGACTCCTCGTTTTCTTCAAGCCAGTTGATGCTTGGGTAATGAAAGAAATCTGCACTTTCGTCATCAGAATCTTCATCTTCTTCGGGGTTCCAATCTTTATCTGAGATGTCACAGCTGCAGACTGAGCCTGTCTCATCAACGTCATCACACCATTCCTTATCAGACTCATCAGAGAGCACCGAATTGTGTTCAACTGCCAAGGAGAGAGGCTCAACGTTTGTTAGTGCATTCTGCGGGTCAACATCCTGCTCTCGTTTGCGGCTGTAAGCATGATCTAGGACCAAATTTCTTCGTCGTCTCCCAGGCGTTAATTCAACAACTGGTTAGTCTATAAAGACGTCTAGGGGTTCTGTTTGTGTCCCCTCGTTAACAAACGTTTTGACAGGAGCTTCTATGATGGAGTCTGTTTCTGTACCAACATCAGCAAATTGTTTCACAGTATCTGCCTCGAGTACTTCTTCGGGACCATTTTCCTCCACCTTTGTCATTTCTGCCTCTTCAGCAACCTGTTCAACCATCATCGCCTTCTCCATAATTTTCTCAACGACCTAAAATAAATTATTCACGGTTCATGTATTCAAAAGCAAAAAGGAGCAAGGCAAAACTGGTTTACTGGTTTACTGGTTACTGGTTTTCAAGTTAATTTATCGATGAAAATTAGTATAACAAGTCAAATAAAATAGTTAAGCTTAAGTAAACAAAAGGACTAACCTTTCTTCTTTCTTTATTTCTGCGTCTTCTTTCGCTTGCATTACCTTTCACCTGGGGCACTGACCGAGGCTTTTTAAAAATTGTAGGACCAGCGTCAGGCTTTTTTTAGTCTTTTGTGTGTTGTTCCTCCCAGAAGACTGTAGCGATGTTCAACTTCAAAGCAGTCGTCCGTGAAGAGTTGCGAAAAGACAAAAATTTGCGCCCCCTTTGGCAAAATTTTCGTCACGAGCCAGCTTTACCAACCATGTCTGAGCAATTTTCTTTTTCGAAATTGGTCATCGACGAAATGATATTCTTCTTTCACTGTCTCTCGGAGTCCTATTGGAGCAAAATGGCGCTGCACAAAAAGGCATGGCCAAGAAAATAGGGTATTCAAATCTTCCCGCTGACTTCGCGCCAAACTTCACGCTGAGCTCTTTGACGTCACGCATACATCGCCTGGCTGCTAAGTTACTCCAAGATGGCGGCGTTGTTTTTCGATTTTCGTGCAACTTTAGACGAGAATTTCATATGGTTTGAAAGCGCTTTGGAAGCTGAAATGTTGGTGAGTGACCGATCATTGTACTAGCTTTCTATTGGCGAAAAGAAAAAAGTGTCTATTTTTGAGTGAACTTCTCCTTTAAAGAGGAATAGAAATTCACAACCGCGTATGATACGCGGCACTGTGTACTGAACTAACTTATCCCGTCACGCAAACTTTTCGCGTTTTTGCCCCCTGGGAATCCCATAATATGCTTGAAATTAATAACTTCAAAATGGTTGCTGTATCGGTAAAAAGGTCTATTGATAGAATATGCTTAAAGACTAAGTCACACCCTTCCCTTACCAAAGAAAAACTAATTTCATCCAACTCCACCCATCAACAAAAACTGTTTCCCGCCTCATATGTTAGCCACATTCACAAAGACTTCATAACCCAGAAAAAGAAAAGAAAGCTAAAGCAAAGGCCACAGGCGCACTAACTTTGTACTAACTATGTACTAACTGAGGACACCTACTAACACTATCTGAAATAGTTCGTGAGATTTAATAAATATCTCGCGAATCTCGTCTTCTTGGTCCGTACTGTTAGTTATGAATCCTCGTTTTTTCCCCTTCGATTTATTTTTCGATTAATAAATCGAAGGGAAAAAGCCTATAAAGGGTCCCTACAACAAACTCCAACTCGTTTAGTCTTTCATTTTGCCTTTGTCAACATTAGGACGAAAAACCTGCAACAGGAACGTCCAAGGCATCTTTATGACGTTGGAAAAATCTTTCTACAACCTGCTGGATCATAGTCCTTTTTCAACTTACATCCTGCCAATAGAGGCTGAACCAATACGCTTGGCGATCCTCGTGTCACTTAACGGAGGTATACAAAACAAAATTCTCAACATGAGGGAGATTAAACGCTTATTGAAAGACCTCGCTTCCTTCATACCAAAAGTACAAAACGCCATCCGGAGAGCAAACTCGATTTTACCCAAGATTAAAGTTGTTACTGAAAGTCCTCTGGAGATGGTGCAACAACTTAACGACCTAATGCAAGAAATGGATATGGTAGTGGATGGTAAAAGTATAAACGTAACGCGAACCCTTACTCTTGCCAAACAGATTAACAGTAGGATGGAATACTTGAAAAAAATCGTAGACTTTATAACACCAATGACTTTTTCTAGCAATGACTCCTCCCTCTTACGCATGATTTTCCAAATCCAGCCGGGAAACTTCCCGAAACCTTTTCATGTCAATCTTGAAGGGGAACACGTTCAAACACGTATGCAAGGGATCAGCCTGCATCTTCGGACCAGCCTTTGCATAGGTCAACTGTGCTTTAATGATTTGACCACGACGATTGACTATCTTGCTGAAAGAAACTGTTTTCCTAACGTGCCATATTTGTTAATATTCCGCGCAAAGGCGAATGTTCTGACTACAATGTCGTTAAGTGATGGGAACATTTTGACACTTCCAAAGGGAGAAGTCATAAATATGGTCTTTCCAAGAGACTTTGACACAGTCACGGCACACTTTGCAGGAAAAATTCAATTGCTCGGCGCTAATCAAATTGTAAATGTTACCTTGGACAAGAAACAGCTGTCGTTTCAAATGCAGGGAAAGATTTTCACTAAATACATGGCAGATGTGAAGGTCATAGCAGATACCAAACACGCTCTGGAATGGAGATCGTTGAGTTTTACAGTTGAAGGAAGGATGATGAATTCCTCCCTACTTTCAACATTCCTTCAGGAAAAAGTAATTAACTTTGCCCAATATCTTGCACAGAAAGCTGCCAAACGAGTGCGAAACTGTAAAAAAACGCTACTGCTTTCAGAACAAAGAGTGGACTCCGCAGAGAAGTTGGTGAGAGAAAAGACTCGTAATTTGAATAAAGCAGACAAGGAAAAGAAAGAAAAAGACTGGAAACTCCAAAACATTTACTTTAAGTATAAAAATAGCAAGTCTCAACCCCAATTAAAGCAATTCCTAATGTTTAAAAGCAACGAAACTTGTGACATACAAAATTGCAGTTATATCGTGACAAACATTAGCATACCAGAGGTGTGTCAAGAAGAGGTCATTGTGAACTACACAGTGCCAAACTGTAGTAAAAAGGAACGAAATTTGGAAGTACAAGAGCTAATTCAAGTTACGACGCAAGTGGCAGAAACCATTTATAAAGTCGTATCCAAATCTAACTGTCGAAAAACTGTCGTGGGAAAACGTATCAACCACATTATTGGTTGCGATAGTTACCAAGAAAAGGTCCCTAATGGTGTAAGATATCATGATATTACAGAAACACATATCAGCACTAAAATAGTAAAGTTAGCAGAATTTAAGTGTGAATATAAGATCGAATCTTTAGCTTCCGGTTATGCAAGACCCACGGTATGCTCCAAAAGTGACGTTGGTGGAAAAGCAAAGATTGTAGATCCTAGATGCGTTTCCCACAACGTACAGTGTTTAAGTAAGATGTCTTCACTGAAGAAAAAATTTAACAATTTAAACAAGACCTTTTTTGATGCATTTCGAAATATGAGTAAAGAGGGAGAGCAGGCTACTATTTCCCAGCTAGAAGCCAACAGGGCAAGAATAAACTTCGATGTAGCTACAAAGCAATTAGAGCTTGCTCAAGCTCAGCTAAAGCAGTATAAATTTGCCAAAGAATCCATTAATCTCACAAAAGTAACAATGCGAGAGAAACTTGGACTGAATATTGGTGAAAAAATTAGGAATCTTGGAGGAAAGACGCTTGTCTCCATCGAGAATCTAACTTTTTCCGTGCCAATGACCAGGTCGTCGCCAAAATCTCGGTTACTGCTGACGGCGAACGTTAGAACATTTGAAGGGTCACACGAAGAAATTCAGTTTTTGATGGATTTTAGACGAGAAGACGATTCTTTAGCCTCCGCATCAAAATTGATTGTTGAGAGTCTCTTTGGAAAATCCCGTTCAAAACCTAGAGGGCGAAGGTCCGCCAGGCAAGAGGTTGTACTGTCGAAGATAAATGGCGGCGAATTTCCTCCTGAACAACACGATTGCCTATTTTCATACCAAGCTCATATTTTCTTTGGTGATATTGTTGAGTCACTGGATTTAGCCATCAAAAGTACGAAAGAACTTGAGAAAACCATGTCTGCAGGAATAAGAGACTTGAAGAAACTCACTGATATAGAAGACAGCTCTAATGGTTCTATGTTAGGCCCACAGCAGCAGATTCGTGCATCCTTTAGCGATATAATTCAGTCTCTAAAGCACGTTCAGATCAATAGCGCCGGAGCGATTTCGTGGAACAATACATTAGACGATGTTCGTGGATTCTTAAATGTCTTATCATGGGCAAAGAACTTCACAGAATGTTCAGGGAGTCAGGATTGTACGGATTTCTTCTTTGACAGTTTAGAAGAGATGTATGAAATGGAATATCACCCCCGAGCAAACGAAATAAAAACGATGCTTAAATCATTAAAAAGGATCATCAGTAGTATGCTGACAGAGAACCATGACATATCTACACTGGAGGACATGATATTGCAAGCAAAACTCCTGATTACCAGTAGCAGCGACGACATTATACTTTGTGGTAAGAAACCAGAAATAGAGAAGAATTCCCCGGTGACGATCAAAGTAATCCTCGGTGAGACTGTAAATTTGACGTGTGAAGCTAAAAGCACGCTGGAGGTAGAATACTTGTGGATAAAGAATGACCAGCCATTAGAGGAAACTAATAGTACCACACTTGAATTGCGAAATGTCACCAAACAAAGTGAGGGGGCGTACAAGTGTCAAGCTTCGAACAAGAGAGGTAGTACCGTTTCCAATGTCACCATTGTGGAGGTGCATCAAAGGCCAAATATCACAGACCAGCCACTTGATGGCAAGGGGCTTGTTGGAGATGAAGTATATTTGATGAACTGCAAAGGCTCCGGGATCCCTCGGCCATTAACAGAGTGGTTCTTTATTCCCATGAACGTAGAGAAACAGGAAGCGGTTCGTATGAACACAACAGGGCGAATTCTTCAATTAGCCAACCTAACAACAGCAAACGCTGGCTTTTATTTTTGCAACGTATTCAATTTGCATGGCAAAGTACAAAGCAGGTTGGCCAGATTGGACGTCTCAAGATTTCTATCAGGTGTTCCAAGAATTGCGGTAAGCCTGAGGCTGAAACAATGCATATCTACAGCATCTCCGGGAAATAACAGGCCACATTGCAAGGAAAGCCCGTCAGGAAAGGCTCAGGACGTTGATTCTGCGGTTTTTGAATACATCACGCGAGAAATGTTGGAGCGCCTAAGCTGGCCCGTGGAAAGAATTGAGAGTAAGCACTACAACCCGTTTCCTGATGCTTCCATTTCTCTTGTCGTTCATGGTGACGTATCCTCCATACACGAGGGGGAGAAGCTCGAAGTATTGAACAGTTTCTCGATGTCAAGACGACGCATGGGAAACAGTTTGAAGAAACTTTACTTCTCCTTAAAGGATAGAAGTATAACATTTAAATGGAAACATTTGTCAATCAGTGTTGAGAACGAGAGCCTTGCATTTAGGATCCTTCCTCAAGGGTGTCCAATTGGAACACGACGTCATGAAAATGGATTTCTATGTGGTAAGTGCACGCCTAAATTCTTACTCCTTATTTATACATTAAAAATTATACCATGCCGGAAACCCCACCCGCTTATTACGGATAATTTCGTCTGTCCCAATCAAAAGGTGATATGTTTTCTCTTTCTGTGACTTGAGTAGATTCGAAAAAATGCACATAAAACCATGGGTGTACTTTTGTCTGAGAAACCTCTTAGCTTAACTCTCTAAACATATTGTGAGTATGGAACAAACTCGATGCAGGCATCAAAGACACTTTAAAGGACTCTCGACATCCTGCAAGGATGCAAATTGACTTATTTGCGATGGGGTATACTATCAGAAGACTTTTTGCATCCGAGACTTAAGGGATTTAAAGGAATTGCTTTCTTTCAGAGGATTCAAGGTGCGGGCAGCTCTGCGTATCCTGGTTTCCTCATAAAAAAGCCTTGAATCAACTCTCGGAGAAACATCGTGCCATTAAAACATCTTGTAATTTCTCTTAGTCTATTGTGTCCCTGGTTCCTATGGAGTGGCAAATGGATCTTGTTTGCAGTGCCCCGTTGGTACATACCAGCCAGATGAAGGAAGCACAGAATGCATCAAGTGCACATTCCGAATGTCATACACCGAACCAGGAGCAGTCCGAGAATCCCAGTGTATCGACATATGTGAGTTTAAATATGACTTTCAAATGTCGCCTTCGGCTAATGTTATGTTTTCTTGAACGATTTTTTCCACTAGGCATCTGTTAGATTAGGTTTTAGTTACGTCATCGAAACCAATTGAATTCATACCTATCTTTCCCTTAGATATTTTTGATATTAGATATTTCGCTTAGATATAGTTTGCCCACACTGAAACGACCAACCTGAAGGAAGAATTAAATGGCTGTTGTTACTGTGGGTTCAAATGAATTGCTAAACCTCATACCCACAGTCTTCGTTCCCCTTGACCAGGGATCGGGACACGAGTGACCCAGGAAAGTTCTGATTGAAGTGCGAGAATGCACATGCCTAACTGACCAACACATGGCTCAATCGAGTCACTGGGTTTTACTTCCGCTCATTTCTATTGTCTTAAAGGGGTAGACCACTTGACGTTTGAGGGGGGTGGGTCACTTTGAAAAAAGATATATTGCAAGCACACTTGTACCAGAAAAAGTTCGTACACACGACCAATACCCCCAAAAATTTCACCCACGTTCAATGGGCCAAAAAAGCATGTTATATGGGAAAAACTATGCCATACAAACACACCTTCCGAAAAAAATTCTAGTGCATGAAAGGATTAAAAAAATTCGTACCTGTACCATATCACTCACAACCCCGTCAAAAGTCAAATGGTCCACCCCTTAACGGAGCTCAGTCACGGTGTTTTGAGTTGCCACGTACCAAATCTCCTTTAACTAGAAGGAAACCTGAAAGCAATAGTGTACTAAGATCGAAAAACATCAAAGAGATAATAATAAACCATAAAGGAAAAAGGATGGTCAAGGATGGCGAAGATTGACATGGATTGCAAACGACGAATTTGAAAAATTTAGGCTAAACTTTTCAAAATGTGCAAACCGTGACTGAGCTCCTTTAAACAAATCAAAATCGAGCCTTTAACGGAACTCTCACGAGTCCCTCATTTCCTCAAGCTTGCACAGTAAGGAAAAAAGACTTGAGGAACGTTATTGCTGAACTGCGTTAAAAGGAGAGTTTCACGATTGGGCGAATGCGCAAGGTATCACCCTTGACATGTTTCGTGAAATCTGGCCACCAGTCAATCTGTTGACACAAATAATTGTGGTCCGCGACTGCTGAATTACGTGTTGTTCTGTAAGAAAGCGAAAAAGGTACTCTGTTCTCACGCCAAGGCTGTAACATGTGCTGAATCCTGAAACTATCTATCCCTAACAAGGGCAACTGTAATGCTTGAGCCATTTTCTAGCAGTGAGTTAAGGTTTATGTCATTTGTTTCTTTTCTAGCCATGTCCTGTGAGTCACCCGAGATCACTACCAAATATGCACTAGCGCCAAAAGAAATGCAGAAACTCTATCGAAGCGGTGAAACAATTACTTTAGGCTGTATACCTGGGTACAGAGTGGTAGGGAATGGAACAAGAGAGTGTAACGAAGGGAACTGGACGAAGATTGACTTTTACTGCGAGCGTAAGCACATACGTTTCTATAATATCAAGTAGTTTGTTAATCATGGAGAGTAAGATGGACAAATACATATTGCAACAACCTATAGCAATGCTTGGGGGAAGCTCATTCAGGGGACGTAACAATGCTCCAAGTCGTGGTACAAACACCAGGTGGGAAAAAAGACGATATCATCGACGATATTATATTACGCAGCGCAAGAAGCGTTGTAGGAGGGATGTAAAACGCCCCTTCGAGGCGCGTAAAATGATCTCGCTCCAGACAACTTCGGCTAGATCGTCATTTCTTTTCAGCCTGATGAATAGCGATTGGGTACAAATCAGCACACTACCAAAGCAGAGCACCATTTCAGCGAAACACTAAATGCAAAACAAGGAAGAGGTTACATTAAACAGAAATGATTTCCCTGCGTGGCTAAATTTATCTCTTTTGAAAGACTTTGCCTGGATTTTAAAGTTTTCGTATCTTCTATAATAATCATTGTGCCTTCTTTCATACCCATTTTTCTTGAAAAAAGCGCGCGATCATTTTCAAGTTGTAGAAAGAGTGAATGAAATGTACATATATAAGTACAAATTAGGGCGTTAGAATGTCCAACGATAAAATATGTAAATACAAGCGCTAAAATGTAAGTGTATACTATAAAAAAACTATATAAATAACTTTGCACGAATTGAATCTGACTGTTGTTCAAAGTTGGCTTAAGCTCCTTTATAAAGAGCATTTCGTAGATCAGGCAGTCGAATTTACTTTGGCACTTTCTAATGATCTTAAAATCACGATATATGTCATTTGGGACTGTTTCATGTTGCTCTTTAATGTGATTTCCGATTGAAGACGATCCTTTGTGTTCCTCAACGCGCTGATAGAGGTGTAGGCAAGTATACTCGACATAGTTTGCATCGCACAAACCACACTTGTAGTAGTAAACAACGCGTTGCTGGTTAATGATAAGCGTTTTCTTTTCTTTTGGTTTGATTTCGTGTCCGATCTTACGGCTTGTATACACGGGGCGAATATCAATTCCAATTTTGCGGCCTAGTTCCCCAAATTGCCTTCGCGCGGAATTGGCCGATCTCTGATCTTTGAATGGTAACACTATTCTGACAGGCGCTTCATTTACGTTACATGCTCGTGTGGAAATTGGATCGCCAGAAACTTTCTTGGTGACAAAATTATTGATGGTCGATTGCGGCAGTTGGGCTGGGTACTGAAGTCGGGNTTAACATTCATTTCATCACTGAAGAAGGTTATAGTATTTTAGCCGAAACGTCTATTTTAAGATTTTTAAGTCAGTGACAACAACTTTTAAGATTTTATTTTAGCGCTTGTACTTACATATTTTATCGTTGGACATTCCGTGCCCTAATTTGTATTTATATATGTACATTTCATTCGCTTTTTCTACAACTTGAAATGATTTCAGGGAGATCGAAACGTCGTTTTTTACGCTAGTTTTTATTCTGAACTGTGTTTCAAAAAAACTACTTATAAGAAAACAAGCGTGCAACGCTAAAACCTTTACCATCTGAGGGCAACCTCTCCATTATATAGCAAGTTAGAATCAATAGAATAATCATCAAGACACATCTTTCAAAGGCCAAGCTTAATCATTTCGAAATACCTCAGGGTTGTCATTCGTTCCTTTGACAGACGCTACATTGAAATGTACTGACTTTTTCAATGCAGGAACGTGCTTTCCACCCTGGACCGAGTTGAAAAAGCGTTGTTATTTGGTAATCGAATCTCAAACACACAAATGGGAAGACGCATTCGCCAAGTGTCAGACTCTTAAATCGGATATGGTGACGATATCCTCAGAGGAAGAAAATCAGTTCACGGGTCAGCTCGCTAAGGTAATCTTTGTTGGGTGTTGAATGAGGTGAACATCTGCACATGCGTGGTAACAAGTAAGAGTTTTACATAGCACCCCTCAAATGGAACACTGAAAGAAAATCAGCAATCCAAAGTAAAAACTGTTGAACAAATAACTTGTAATTTTGTTCACGCCTTTGTTTTATCGAAACCCTAGTTTTAGCATCATGTTCTTTATTTTTTTTCGATTGGAAATTATGTTGAGGAAAGAAAACCGTTATCATAAATACTGAGTATACGTGTCTCTCTTTGGCCATCCTCGGAGACGCAGGCCAGGGACGAAGTAGGTGTTTCCCGCTTTACTTGAAAACTTTCATCCCTACAATTTTTCCCGGAACTTTGCTCCCTTCTAGCTACAGTAACTGCCCCTGACTCTCCGAGCATGCTTTGGCTGGAGCAAAATTTGGAAACCAATTTTGCCGTACAGAAACACTGCTTCGCACAATCATCGAAATTTGTCGTCCTCTTTCCCAGGGAAAAGACTTTCTAAGGGATCGTTGCAAATACTTATTTAAAACTAAATCAAGAATTCGGCTGAAAATTCCTATCCTCGTGCGTACTTAGAACTGAGAAGGAACTAAACGTTAATATAAACTCCTTCTCCTCACTATAAATACGCAAGATACTCTTGCTCTGATCTAGAATAACGTAAAATGACGCAAAAAGCAATAACATAAAGTAAACGAAATTAGTAATATCCCCAAAACACTACTAGACTAATATTACTGGCTGCCGTTTCTTTTCTCCATACATCGAAGGTAGTGGCTGTATGTTTCCATTATTTATAAAAAAAAAAAAATACATAGGAAACTGAAGTGATTCGACAATTTCTCTTGCATCAATTTCAATAGCTTGTTAGAGAATGCATCGAAAAGTCGAATTGCTTTAATGGCTGTAAATTAAAGTCAGCCTTCTCAGTTTTGTATTATGTTTGAGTCTGTGTGCCCTTATTACTATGGGTTTCTCCCAAGCTACATGGTTTGACACCTTAATAAAGTTTTATTATTATTATATTATTGTGTCACATATGTCGCTATGTCACAATTCAATTCTAGGATTACATGGAGGAGAGGAAAATGGGGCAAGTGCAGATGTGGTTGGGGCTGAGGAAAATGCACCCCGAGGGTCAATTTCATTGGGTGGACGGAAGCCCCTTAGAAGGCTACATTAACTGGACCCCAGGCGAACCCAACAACTTTAATGGTCGTGAGCTGTGCACCGAGATGTTGGTCTCGGCGGAATTCTGGTTGAACAAGTGGAATGATGTGAACTGCGACGCTGCTGGTTACAAGTCAATCACCGTCTGCGAGAAACCCTTAGTAGAGCATGATTAAAGGCAATGATTTGTTTCCAGACACTTTTCAAACCTACTCCCCTTTCAGTTGTGGTCTACCCCTGAGTCCAAAATGTGCTGGAACCGTATGTTTTCAAACTGCTATCACAAAAACAAAATGTAGGTAACCTCACGAGAACCGTCCTGAATTTTGAAGAACTTGATTTTTTTCGATTGCTAGAGCAGTGTTACTGGCATTTTCTTTCGCTTTCTATCTCACTTTGTATCGAGTGGGTTTTTAAGTGTCCGGATTCCGATTACTCTTAAGTGGGTTGTCAAGGAGGTTTATGAAGTCATGGTTTCTTTTTTTTATCGAAAAGGCTATTGCCATGCAATTTTTTGTTAAACTGCTGTCACAGGCATGCAAGTATGGATAAAGTTGGACAAAATAGAAGTGGATTGCTAAATTTCTAGTTGGAGTAAAAGGTATTTTCCACTAAAAATTCTCCTTTATTGAGATGACAATATCACTATAACCGTGATGCTTATGCAGTTTGAGTCATAAGGCAGTATGTTACCAAGTGCGGCGTGACTTAGGTGCTTTAAAAATTAACGTTTGGAATGATTAGTTATTGAAAACAACGATTTTAAAAGAGTCCTTAAGAATGCTAGTTTTCTAGGAGGCTTTTAACAGTGACAGATCTGGGGACGTCCAGGTGCCTGCTTATTCCTTTTCTTCCCTTTATGCTAAAAATTGTAAGTCCCGAAAGCCCGAAAAATTTCGCCCCTCGCCCCACCCCGTCCGCCCTTTTTTTTTTTAAGTAAGGAAAAGCTCACTTGCACTCCGCCCGCTACTCCTTCAAACACGAAATTTCCTACCTTCACTTAGCCCTCATCCGGCCCCTTCTATTAGATTCGCTACTGTTTAAGACTCAGTGGCTAACCTGTTGTCGCTGATGTATGTGTATGTGTGCTTAGCTCACCCACTACAGTGGGTAAATTCCAATAGTTTTGAACAATAGGCAATTGTAACTTCATGTTTGTATACTCCTCTTTCATCTTCCTCAGCAGGGCAAGGAAAGGGGAAGGGGAGTTATTTACACGAACAGCAAAATTTTTCCCCAGAAAGCCTTATTATTCTCTTCAGTATTTTCAGATAAACGTATGATAGAGCAAAAATGTATTACATGTACGTGCAGTAGCCTAACTGTGAGAGCGATGGACTTTGCATCAATTGATTCGGGTTCTAGACTGTCTGGGATCTGTCTGTTGTGGTATTGAACAAGATATTTTATCTTCCCGGTGCAGCTCCTAACCCAGGAGTATAAATGGGTACCGCTGTTGTCAGGGAAACCTGACAACAATTGCAGGAAGGTAGCCGGCGGGTGGACTAGTATCCCAACCAGGGGAAGGAGCAAAACTCCTAGCTGCTTTACGCTACGGAAAACGGAGTTAAGCGCCACTACGCTCTGAAATGTTTCACAAGTTTGCTTTTATATTAGAGTGAATATATTTGATTTGAATGAACAGTTTCTATACGCTTTGTGTCACTCGGAGATGAAGGTTGTTAATGATTACCTGATGTATCAATTTACTAGTTTATGAAAGCGAAAGTTCCACGGCTTTTAGAAATGAATGAGTGATTTATAAAAGTTGATAAGTTTGAAATGTATCAATAAAGGTTTATAAGGGTCATGATGGATTGTCTGAGGGATAAATGATGTTGTATCACGAAATCGATTGAATGAAATGGGTTAGCTCGTACTTTGATCTCAAAAGAGAAATTTTGTAAATAGTCTTTTCATTCATCAGGGGGAAGACCTTTTTGCAGTCAAATCCACCATTTTGACAATGGGGCAAGTTTATCGCGAAATAAAGAGTTCGGACACTGTATGGGAATTTCAGAGTTGTCGATGTCAAAAACTTTCAAATAGCGCAGAAATTTAATTTTAAGAAACACTGTCATAAAATCGAATTTGTGAGTTATTTATAAATCGTTAATTAAGAAACAGAAAACATGTACTGTGTTTCTATCCAGTTTTAAAGTGAAGTATGATCATCGCAGTAAATTTTCCAATTTAAGCAACTGGAAAGAAGAAGCCTGAAAAAAATCAGGGCTTCAACGGGA